TTTAAATCTTCTTGTTAAAGTATTTGCTGTTTTTGTATTTTTAACCTTTTTAAATTATCTTGCATGCAAATCGCCTTGAGAAACTGATTTAGAAGGCAATTAATCAATGGTAATAAAGTCAGATAAAAAGCATTTTATCCTTTTCTTTGCTTACATCATTTCTAAGGCTGTTTTATCATTCATGAAACTGTTCATTAAAATGGACTGCAATTTCACTGAAATATCCTGCATATCACTTGGAACATCTTTAGTAGTCTCCTCCAGTGCAAAACACACTCCTACATGGTTATTATATTGAGACATAATTATAGAGCAGATATATACTTAAAGAACCACGCTCTCAAAGCTACACAGATCGCTGTTTCCTGGAACCTAATGGCGAAACACCCCTTCATGTGCCAACTATGATATAGGTGAGAGCCTTCTCATACTCATACTCGGTAACACCTTACTGTTAGTAATAAAAATCTGGTTTCTTTGAAAGCTGTTCTGCAGCTGTTAGGATTATTTCTGCATTGATTCTTTTCTTGAAATCTTGTAGCAAATTTTTACGTTTTATGTAGTTGTGGCTGTGGATTTGCAATCAGATCTTAAAGTGAGTTATTTTAAAAAATTGTTTTGGATACCTTAGGTGGCAGTATTTAAGTTTTAAAATAAAGGAAGAACATTAGTAGTCACACTGTCTTCAAAAAAAATCAACAGATAATTCCACCAGCCAAAGCAGGACTCATTACCTAAGTTCAACCAATCCTCAAACAGCATGTTACCTATTTCTAAACTATTTTCTAAAAAGCCGTGGAAAATATGCATGTGACTTTCAAACAAAAATGTATTAGAACGACAGGAGGCAGAATTTGAGGATACATGAAGAAAGTCTTTTGAAAAACAAAAATATTCTTCTACCCTGCTGATTTGAATTGAGTAGCAATAATGAGTGTAATTCCAGTTCACTATCATAAATCTTTTTTTCTTCTTCATCCCATAATGATATGAGTGTTCTCCAACAGCAATTACTCACAAGCGGGGTGGGGAGGATACTCGTCTGCAACATTTTATGGTCTTCATACAGCTCAAAGGGACACAATGCATCAGTTTATTAGCATTATAGCACAAGGGTTTCAGCACGCTCCACTTTTTCCTTTCTTCTACGTATGTATGTAGCATGTAATAATGATAATAAATTTATTATTCAGAGTCAGTCCATCTGGCTGGGTTTCAACAGCATATCTAAAAACGTAATAAAAACATCAAGCATTAAAAACCTCCCGGTACAGGGCTGCCTTCAGATGTCTTCTAAAAGTTGTGTAGTTCTTGATCTCCTTGACATCTGAAGGGAGGGCTGTTCCACAGGGAGGGTGCCACTACCGAGAAGGCCCTCTGCCTGGTTCCCTGTTAACTTTGCTTCTCGCAGTTAGGGAGGCCCTTGGAGGAGGACCTCAGTGTCCGGGCTGAACGATGGGGGTGGAGATGCTCCTTCAGGTATACTGGGCTGAGGCCGTTTGGGGCTTTAAAAGTCAGCACCAACGCTTTGAATTATGCTAGGAAACATACTGGGAGCCAGTGAAGATCCTTTAGGACTTGTGTTATATGTTCCTGGCAGCCACTCCCAGTCACCAGTCCAGCTGCCGCATTCTGGATTAGTTGTGGTTTCCGAGTCACCTTCAAATGTGGCTTTTCTGCTTTATTTCTTTCAAAATGAGTTGCATTTCCACACAATGATACTAAAACATTGTGGGCACTCTTTACATCAGGTGTATTCAGACCTAGGACCAAGCCATGGTTTAGTCTTTTGTGCATGAGCATCAACAATCCTTGGGTTCACAAACCCCTTCTTCCCAACTTATGCCTCACCTTGTATAGTACAGCCTTCTAACTTCCCTCATCCATGACTATTAGCCAGGAATCATCATTGGGGATGATGAAGTTGTAATCCAAAAACATCAGAGATTCAAGCTGGGGAGGACTGCTATCACTAATTCTATATTTGTCCAACAACCTATACCTTGGCAAACTGCAATTTGCTATGTTGTAACACAAGCTTTGTTTTTCTCAGAACTCATAAATCATTTTAGAAACTGATCATGAAAGGAGCAGGCAGATAATGTACAGAAGTCTCGCTGTTGTTCATGTATGTATTTGGCATTGTATTTGAATGTGGTTCTTGTCTACGGTAATTTATATAGCAGACTTCTTCAAAAATTAAATAACCCATTGACCTTGTTTGGACATAACGCTAAACCACAATTTAGCATTATGAGAATGAGTCACAGGAAATGCAACTTTTTGGTTTTCCAGTTTTTCTTCCAGTGCTCAACAGAGGAGAGGTGATGCACTTGAGGCCAAGGCCCACGCAGATGTAGTACCAAACTATGGCACAGAGGTATGTCTGAAGTAGGCCAATATCTTAGAAAAAGGAAAGGGGGGTGAGAGCAAGGAAAGCCACCCCTGCTACTGCTTCAGTAACCTTAGTTCCCCCCCCCCATGATTGCTACTCAGAAAACAATCTCTTTTAAATATTTTATCATTTTATTTTTACTTCATTCCTCTAAGTGGAAAGAAAACTTTGGTAAGTAACTGATTTGAAGCTTGGGTAAAAAGCTGGAAGTTTCAAACAACAGCATTAGAGAAATAAGAACCAAAAAGGTAATACTGGGTTTCATAACTACCCATTTTTAATTGTACCTTTCCCTTTAGTTGTAAGTTCTCCAAGGACATACATTATTTTATAATTTTTTATTGCTTTCTTTGCAACATATTGTTTTATATTTCATTGGTAACTACTCTTAAGAGTTTCACCAAAGAAGCAATATGTAAATTTAAGTTTAAAAAAATTTGATTTGCATACCACTAATTATTCTACTCAGTATTGCAATCACCATGTGAAGCTTTCTGAATTACTCCCACTCCTGCCACTCATTTTTCCTTCTGTTTAAGTGTCTAGAATTTTACAGAGCTTTATGCAATTTTTCTAGCTCCAAGGCACTTTATTCAAATGGAGAACATTTTGCCAACTTGTCATCTACTGTGCCTTTTACTTTCAAGGAATCTAAGAAGGATCTTATTTACAGTCCTCTCCTACCTTATTATCCAGAAATAACTGTAGTGATCACATTTCACTTTCACCCTCCAGCTGGAATCCTGGGGTTCGCTTTGATCCCAATATATCTTTAGAGGGATCGTCTTATATATACATATGTTACCAATACACCCCCTTTTACCATCTTAGAAATGTCTTGCCTTCAACATGTGCAATCCAAAATAGATCTGGAAAGACTTGTGCATGTTTGTTGAGCCTCCAGGACCAGCTACTATCATTCTCGGTTCCTCGGTATTACAGAAATGTTGATTCATTGATTGCAACTGGTTCAGATTCTGTAGCCCACATTCTCAGCTACATAAGGTCTCATATTACTTTATGTGAATTCTTTTTTTTTTACACTAACTTCCAAAGAGATCAATTATTGTGTTATTAAACTTGCATGTCACAAATAAAGTCTACGGTGCTGTACAACATCTGCATTCATCTGTCTGTGTTTGGGTACTGTTAAATTGAAATTTTCAGAACCACAATCTACCCAAGACTACAAGATCACCCATGTCAGTTTAGCGGTGACAACCTCAATTTTAGTTCAGTATCCGGAAACCTGGTGCCTATGTTCACTTGACAATACCAGGGGTCAACAGGAAGTCCACATTAGCAATATAATTCCTTCGGACATATTTCTTCTTGTGACAATAGAGAGTAGTACTTAAAAATTAAGAATCAAAGTTCTGATATATATATAAGCCAACCTTACATCACATTGTTTGTAATGCAGACATCAACCAACTATATGGAACAATAACAGATGAAAAATAATGTATACTGCTTGTGAAATCCTAAGCAATCTTCCCAATTTAATCTGTCATAGTTAGAGATAGTTGGAGATCTATAAAAGTCCTTTTTGCTAATCTTTTACCTTAAGGCCGTTCACTGAAGACTCCCCCTTGTGATCTTAATTTGACCGTGAATAGCCTACACACATCTAGAAGAATGTTAAATGACACAACCATGCGGAAGACAGCTAAATAATTTCTTTCCGATTCACAACTGCCTTATTAAATTTGTATTCCCAGTGCTCTGATGCTAAAGGTGTTTTTATGTAAAATAATAGTCTACTTTGATAATTCTATTCTTGCTCTTGTATATATATTACTATATTTACGAAAAATCTACGAAAGCAAATTACTATATTTAGTACCTATCCTAATACTAGAATTAGTTATCCATATACCTCAAGGAAATCATTCTTTCTACTATAATAAATAATTTTAATTAAAATTAAAAATATGGTGGCTATTGCCACGATAGGTCACAGACACAGGAAACACAGCTTACCAAATATGTATTTCTAAACTTCCCATCATTTGGTTTAGAAACAATCTGGAAATATGATCAAATTATTCCTCTCTATAGACCTTCACAGCACAAGTTTGCTTTGCTTTATTAATAGGCAGCAGTGTTATTGCATTACTGGAGCAAGCATGGTATAATTTCCTTGATGAATCTGAGGGACTCCAGAGAAGCATATCAAGAAGGGAGCATCAAAAGAACACAGAAGAATGACACCCTTTGAATTGTGATTGTATTTATTTTCAAAGAAGTTCAATACAGAAAGCTTATGATGGAAAGTAAAAAGTCACATTAAACACATTGTTCAGAATAAGTACCCACTTGACATAAAATTTAATACTTCAATATGCAAGTACAATATGCAAGATAATTTATCTGGAAGAAAAATAGTTTATCCATTTGCCTACAAAATTAGAAGTAAATATAACATATTTTCCACTTCACCATCTAGCTAAGAACCTTCAGGATCTCTGAATTAGTTGGTGAAATCTAGGTACCGACTGAGCCAGTAAATTATGTATCACATTTAAGGGAAACTCGACTTAATAACAGCTTCTAAAATGATTCCATTTTAATATGTAGATGAAATGTTAAGAGTTTTACTTACCAAATTCGCCATGTAAATTGTAAGCAGCCCTCTCCTAGAGACAGAAACCAAAACATAGAATTATTAAGCCATACTGAGCTTAACTGCTGATTTATTGCACACACAAAAACCCAGAACTTCACTCTATGGTAAATTCTACCCCTGCCTGAAATCCCGGAGAGCCAGTCCTATAGATAATGCTGAGAGTGATGAACCAATGGTCCAACTCATTGGCTTAGCACAAATGTGCTGGCTTCCAATGAGAAGACTGGCCCTCCTAAGGGACCTCATTCCATCCTTTTTAGCTCAGTGCAGCATGATCCTTAACCATGATCTGCGGCCAATGTTTCTCCTTTGGAACCTAGGATCCCAGGTTCAGATGGCGGGCCAAGCCAAGCCAAGCCTTGCTTTAGCTGCCATCTTGCCCTGATTTAAAACCTGGAGAGGAAAAAGTGGGATGGCTTACAATGACTTGTGAACCAAGCCAGTATAGGGCAACTTCCTATGTTCCTACACACTCAACAGCCAGAGGGCTGAAAACACCAGCTCTGCTTTAGAACTCATTCACACTAGTGTTTTGCTTTGGTGTTTATCCCACACTGGTTGTTATTTTTTAAGAGGTGATTTGTCATTATGTTTGCCTTTCTAATGGCTCCTTGTTCACTACAGAGTTCAGAGGCTGGGTTTGAACTTTAAGGCCATCAATCTACTGCATTTGTATCTTTATCCTTCCTCTAAGGCAGGCATGGCCAAACGTGGCCCTCCAGCTGTTTTGGGACTACAATTCCCATCATCCCTGACCACTGGTCCTGTTAACTAGGGATGATGGAAACTGTAGTCCCAAAACAGCTGGAGGGCCAAGTTTGGCCATGCCTGCTCTAAGGCAACATGGTGCCATCAGGTTGTTATGGACTAAAACCCATTGGTCATGCTAACTGAGGCTGACAGTAGCTGGAGTCCAACAATATTTCCCCCCTTATCAGTGAAGTAGTTTATGCTGCAAGATAGTGATTGAACCTGTGCGAGGATTTGAACCCAGCTCTCGCCAGTCCAAACACACTTGTCATAGGACTCTACATACAAAGACCCCTGAGATTACAACTCAAGCTTTGATCTTCAATAAACCAGATCTGATCTCTTGTTGATGCTATGAGAACTGCTGCTTCAGCTCTATCCAACTTTCCATGATCCAGTTCCAGATGTTGTAACTTTATTTCACAATAGCTCTAGCTAGTAATATTCTCAGCATATGTAAACATGCAGCATACACATGGATTGATACTCAGTGCTCCCTGGTAGAGTTATACCAGGTACATGGTTTAATGCAGGCATAGGCAAACTTGGCCCTCCAGCTGTTTTTGGACTACAACGCCCATCATCCCTAGCTAACAGGACCAGTGGTCAGGGATGATGGGAACTGTAGTCCCAAAACATCTGGAAGGCTGAGTTTGGCTATGCCTGGTTTAATGTTCAGCTACTTGCCTGAAGCAAGCAGAAACTGCCCTCCCAATGAATCATCTGAAATTGCTCAAAAGGGCAAGTGAAAATGCTGCTGCTGCTCAGCCTGGAATAGAAGTGAATGCCTGGGTGAGCCAGGAAGAGGACAGGATGCCGCTGCAACCCTTCCCTTCCTTGATCTTGGGACCATCTGCTGCCATCAACAGAAGCAATGCCTACCTTCCCCTAGTGCTGCTTCGCCCAAATGTCATGCTGAGCCAAGCAACACCATACCATACCTTAGTAGGTTTTGAACGTATCTTGTTTTAAGATCTTTCAGTTAAATTAAAATACGTTTGGCAATATTTCAATACATCATTTCGCATTCTACCGGGAAAAATTCCTGTATTTATTTGGCTTAAACTGGAGACATGAGTTAATCTCACCATTATTTTCTGACCATAAATGTGGTAGCATAAAACTATTCCTAGCTGTTTTTCTTCAGAAGGTAGAATCTGATCCGCAAATACAGACCTTTTTATATAAAAAGTAAAACATACCACTTAACCTGTACAACTAAATCCAATATACATAATCCAAACCCATAGCCAAATCAAGAAATCACCAATTTTCCTTCCAAACAGCTGCGTAACACCTATTACCAAACACTGAAAATCCTACAATTCCAGATCTAGAACTAAGATGGGGATGGAAGGGAAGTCTGAAATAACAAAGCATTACAGTTGATGTTTAGGTTATGCTTAATCACTCACACCCACCTATTTCCTACTTTCAGCAGAAGTCTGACAGTGAAATACCAGTGCAAAAGTTCACTTAAAACCAACAAGAACAGCTAAGCTTTCATAATAATACAGAGAATGCAAAACACAGACTTAAGCAGTGACTTTTCAATATAAAAAGAACCCAAACATAAGTTGTTATGAAAGCAAATACCTATCATGACACATGGTTTATAGTGTCCTGTACTGTCACCATTTCAGATCTCCAAAATGCCTTTGAGTAAAGTAGACTCGAAAATAGAATACAGCAGGAGAGCTGTCTAAGACCAATATTCACTTGAACACACACACACAGAAAGCCTAATCAAAATGGCCAATGCTAAAGAGTAAGCAAAAGATCTATACTACAAAACATTCCAAAATTGTTTTAAGTAATCTGGAGATGGGGGAGGGAGGCAGAAAAAATCCCTGTGCTGTAGCTTAAGCATATTATCAGACAATTTTGCACTACTAGAAAAAGACATATTTATAAACCAAAACGTTGCATGCATGCAGAAACCATTTTGCACGGGAGTTCCAATCCAGGTCCCCAAATGCATAAGCCCACCCTGTTCTGCCCTCTTTCGGGTCCAAAAGGACCTGTCAGTTGGCAATCACAGGTCAATTGGACACACGTACTACCTGTACTTAAATGTATCCACTAGTCCTATTAGCATTTTCTACTAATGTCTATTTGATGATCTGGATTCAGACACAATGATTTTACAGTGACCAAAACTTCATTTGGGGGACGTTTACTAAACTGTCAATCTTATTTTATAGATGGGTAATTTGTTTGTTTATTTTGTCTGCTTGCTATTATGTGATTCTCTATTTAAATGTTAATTGGTTTGTTACCTAGCAGAAGTGTGATTACTTAGGTTCTGCTGCATGCTGTCATTCATGACTCTGCCAGCCCTAATAGGCCCATGAAGCTAAAGAGTGGATATATTATATTCTTACCAAGGTGGCATGGGATTGGAACAGATGTACAGTGGTACCTGAGGTTAAGTATTTAATTCGTTCCGGAGGTCCGTTCTTAACCTGAAACTGTTCTTAACCTGAAGCACCACTTTAGCTAATGCGGCCTCCTGCTGCTGCTGCGCCGCCGGAGCTCGATTTCTGTTCTTATCCTGAAGCAAAGTTCTTAACCTGAAGCACTATTTCTGGGTTAGCAGAGTGTGTAACCTGAAGCGTATGTAACCCGAGGTACCACTGTACTTTGAGGCTCCTTCAAACTCTAAGATTCTATGAAAATGTATTATAAGTGCAGCTTATAGCTACCTTAAAATTAAAGCAAGTGACCTGTAACATCAAAAGATCCACTACTAATTAAACTAACCATGACCGCAATCTTCCAGGAACATCCTCTCTTCAAGCCCTAATGAAGAAAGATTGATCATTATGTACTGCTATAACATTTGACTCATACGCATTTCTCAAGGCGGCATTTCAAGCAGTGGCATGGACGTCAATCCATCTTTCTTTGCTAATCTGAAAAGGGGCAAGGCCATGGACCACGAGATTAAAGGAACTATATACGGCACAAAATCCTAATGAATACACTGACTCACTTTTATTTTAAAAAGAAAATGCTAGTGAATGGTGCCATGTCTTAAGGATGCATGTAATTCACAAGAAAAGGAGGTCACAAAGCTTAATTTGAAATTTAAAGCACTTTATGAATGCAGATCTGGAATGGAGATGAACTCCAGCCAAAAACATTAATTGAAGTAATGTGTGAAATAACAATCTCTTACATTTCCCCCCCAAAAAACTTGGATACCTTCTAACTGGAAAGTAGTTGATACTGTGCCTATGTTTATAAAAAAGGGAAAAAACAGAAGAACTAAGCCCTCTGTTGATTTGACCTCAAGGAAAACTACAGAACAAATATTTATGGAGGCCAGAATTCAAAAATATGGAAGGAAATAACAAGTGGGTGGCTCGTGTTCACCAAAAGCTGATTGTGCCAAACTAATTTAAAAAGGTAACTAGTTTACTGGCCTAGAGCATGACAATTGACAAAGTTAGCTCACCTGCTTGAGCATTTACTACCTATTTACCAGACTACGTAGCACCATTCATGGGGCACAATTCACTTGCTCCCATGAATGCCTAAGGATATGTGACATGGGACAAACAATAGGAGACCTAATGTACAATGCAGCTTGCCATAGGAAAGACGACTCTTGACATGCCTCCCAATAGCTTGTAGAAGCCTTTTCCACATAGACATTGGTTTCTTTTCCTCCAATATCTCTCAGGATAGACAGATGCCAAGAGAACCCATAGGATGAAAAAAAAAACCCATAGCAGCAATTAGAAAAGCCACGTAATTTTTTGAACTCTGGAGGTTTGGCACTTAAGCGTTGGGTAGATGTACTACCGGCCCATAGGGCGCATCTAGGGTTTTTTTTTGGGGGGGGGATAAAGAAAAAAAAATATTTTCCCCCCCAGGCATGGGGCTGGGGTGGGGGAAGCCCGAGCTTCCCCCGACCCCAGAACAGGCTGCTATCCACAAGCCTTGGGAGCCCGGCGGGAACTCCCGCGGGCTCCCAAGGCTTGCGGATAGCTTCCTGAAGCCTGCCGCACCGACCCCTCTCGCTCTCCAGGCTTCAGCGAAAGCCTGCATTCGCCCCATAGGACGCACACCCATTTCCCCTTCATTTTAGGAGGGGGAAAATTGCGTCCTATAGGGCGAAAAATACGGTATATACTAAACAGGGGTTGGAAACATTCATGGAGAATAAGGCCATAATGGCTACCAGCCATGATGGCTGGGTACTACTTCTACTTTGTACCTTGTTATCAAAACTGAGCAGAAAGAGGGTGATCT